TGTGTGACTGTGCTGTAGTTTGTGTGGCCACATGCACCGTGTATGTGCTTAGGTAATGGGTGAGGTATGTACTCTGGGTAGTTGTGTGTCTGTGGTCTGTGAGTGACTGTTCCATGTCCTCTGGGTGACTGGGATTGGGAGGCAGACAGCTCACATGGGGTGCAGCCCTGCCCTTGCCTGCAGCCCCTACAAGGAGTGACAGCCCAGACTTGCTGCCCTGAGTCTGCTAGGCTGAGGTTCCCTCCCTGCTAGGGGTCCACTGATCCCAGATCCTCCCTCCCCTCCCTTTAAACTCTCTCCACCTTCCTCTGGCTGAGCTTCTGAAGTCATCTTCCACTTGCCTTCTGAGTCTTTAAGGAAGCGGGCCAGGTGAGAATGCAGGCTAGACCATCCAAGGCTGCTGTCAGCATTGATTCCCCAAGCAAGGTGTGGCTGCACGCCAGCCCCTGGGGCTGCTTTAGCCTCAGGCACTACCAAGTCCTGGGCAAAGCGGCCCATGAGCCATTCAGGCATGGTTGGGCTCCAACCTGTGAGTCCAGGCATCCTGGCTCTCTCATCACTGGAGATGGACATAGCCTGCCCTCAAATGGTCTGGGCTGTGGGTGCCAGCCTTCAAGATGAACCATTCAGACATGTTCAGGGTCACCTCCCAGTGCACAGGGCTGTGTTCCTAGCCCCAAGAGCTGTGGTCACTCTAGTGGTGGCAAGAGCTTAGGCTCTGGAGCTAGATCGATTCTGGTCCAAGCTTCTGCTTCATCCCTAGCTTTCAACACTTGGTCCTTGAACCTCTCTGTACCTGGGTTTGCTTTTTGGCCCAATGGAACATGGCCACCTGTCTGACCAGGTGTGTGAGGATTAAGGTACAGAATAGATCCTTAGCTTGGGCAGCATCCTTCTCTCTCCTTCCTGTGCTCCGCTTCCCTGAGGCTACACAGAAGGGAGCTGGGGTCTCAGCAGATGTGAGCTCTTGCTCTGGCTTGCACTAGTCTCTAGGCTTCAGAGAATGTGGTGGTCTGAGCAACGAGTACCTTCCTCCACAGCCGTCCCAAGAGCCCACTTAGACCCGGATGTTGCTGGGGCTCTACCTGCAACAAAGGAGCAGGTGCCGACAGCTAAAGCCAGAAGGAAGGCCCCCAGGAGCCTAGGCAGGGCAGGAGGCCTGGCTGCCACCTCTGCCAGCTTCCCTGGGAAGAAGGCCTAGTGTCTGGCTCGAGGCCTGGCTGCTGCTGTCCACCCCATCCCCACTCCTTTGGTTCTGAGGCCCAGAGAGGAAGGAATCTAGATAGCATCTCCACTGATGGCTGATAACAAAGGATTTTTTTTTTCTATCTGACTTTTTTTTTTTTTTTTTAATAAGACTTGACCTCTTTCTGGGCTCAGTTTCCCCATAAAGACCTAACATGTGAGAGCAGCCAATGGGATGAAAGCTCTAGGGGCCTGTAGGGTACCTGGGAGTGAGAAGTCTCCTGGGATATCAGTGCCCGGTGTGGGCTGTTCCCATGCGCCTCCCTGAGCACCGATGAGCGGAGTTAGAGACAGGCTGGCTGTCTCCCAGGGATGAATTTAGAGACTCCTTGGGGAGTCTCTTCATTTGCTACCTCGTAAGGGTCTCAGCTGCAATGAAGAGCCCCACCTGGAGAAGGTGCCACAGGAGAAGGGCTACTTACTGGGGTGCTGAAGGATGATGGGTTTTTCCAGAGAAAGATGGGCAGGGACACTCTGGTGGAAGGAACAACAGGTGTGATGATGTGGAGATGGGGAGACACGGAGGTGTGGGGTCAGAAATGGCAGGGTTGCATCTGACAAGAATGTTGGGTGCATGGAAGGAAGTCAGGGAGGCCAGGGAACAGAATCTCACGCCCAGCTGAGGAATTAGGGCTTTTCTCTGTGGGCAGCATGGGCAGGCAGCATGCAGAGCTGGGATCCCAGCCAGTCCCTCCCTCTGGTTTGGAGGCAGGACTGGTGGCCAAGACTGACGCCTAAAACCTGTTAGCATTGAAGGCAGTGGCCCTGTTAAGAGAGAGTCACATATAAGCAGAGGGGACAGAGGAGGATGGATGTGGGTCCGATTAGGAGGGTGATGCCATGGCTGGTGGGGCAGCAAGGAGAGGTGCCTCCTGCCTTCGCCATCGCCCAGGATCGAGAGCCCATGGGTGCAATGGCATCCCTCTCTCACAAAGGCCAGGGAAGAGGGTATGACTCGGGCATGACCTACCTTTGGAGTTTCACAATACCAAGCTCCAAAATGGGGCCCTCCAGAGAGAACCTGGGACCAAATATCCAGCAGACAGTGGTATTTTAGCTCCAAGAGCGTTGGCAATTCTGGTGATGGAAAGTGCTGATAAACCAGGGTTGGAAGTGTACCTCTTTCAGATGCTTCCACTTTGCTTCCCAGGTCCACCTCTGTAGTGACCCAGGTCGGCACTGTCTGGACCCTTGCAGAGCTGTTTCTGGAGTTGGAAGACTTGGTTTAAGTCCCTACCCTGTCCCACCTTGTCCAAGCCTCACCACTTCATAGGGCTGAGGGGGCTCACCTTTCCAGTCCACAGCATTGTCTCTGCGGGTGTCCTTTACCCTCCGCTGGGCGAGGAGCTCCCTGAGCCTGGGCTGGAATCCTCCTTGAGGGATCCCCACTGTGCTGGGCATAACCTGGCGCTTGATGAGGAAGGAAAGGAAGAAAGAATGGATGCATGCCTGTTGGATGGAAGAGAAAAAGGGAGGAAGGAATAGGAGGGAGGGAGAGGGAAGGAAGGAGAAGGATGATAACATGTAGATGAAAGGGAGGGAGAGAGGATAGAAGGAAGGAAGGATAGTGGATGGAAGAGAAAAGGAAAGGAAGGAAGGAAAGATGGATAATGGGTAGATAAAAGGAAGGATAGGTGAATGGAAGAAGGGTGCACAGGGATCACAGTCTCTAGTAGTCTAAATCAAGTTTTTGAAAATTGCTCAATGCTCTAAGCCTACAGGACTATCAGCATCCCATAGTGGTTGCCTGGGGCAGATCTCTTCCTGTTTCTGGGCCACAGGCTTCCCCATCTGTAGCAGGTAGTGTTTTGGATCCGATAATCTAAAGGCTTCTCTATGCTGACATTCTGAAATGCTGACTTTGCCCCTTCCCCTGAGTCCTCCCCTTCCCCACCCACAATGTGGCTTGGAAGGTCCACTTAGTTCTAGGCTTCTAGATCTCTTCCAGTTGGGTGCCAGGTCTCAGGGCCATGGCCAACCCAAACAGGGCTGTTCTGAGACTTCCAGTGTGCACCCCCATCCTCACCCCCTTACTCCCCCCCCAAAAAAAAAAACAGTCGGAGATGGGTGTCAATGCAAACTAAAGTAATTCTTAGAAGCAGCCTGGCTGCCTCCTGCTGAAGATACACAAAACCATGGCACTCCTTGAAGTTATATATGAGGGCACCTCTGTGGGCCAAAAGTGCCACCTATTCCAGCCTGTAGCCCAGGGCCGCCTCTGACCATGGTCTGTCTTGGCCAAGCAGAGAGACGGAGAGTCCAGAGGGAAAGGGGAGCAGCAGGAACATGCGGGCAAGACTGACCTGCTGGGCCCCTGGAGGAGAGCTAACTGGCCAGAGTTCCATCTGCCCAGGGCAATGCCTAAGGAGGCCATGGTCTGTTAGAGTTCCGGGGGACCCACTGGAGTCTGTAACCCACTTAGAGTCTATAAGAAGAGACCTTGCCTGGAATTCAGTCTTGAGTAAGAGAGTTTGAAGCTCAGACAGCTACTTGATTCTCTTTCCTTGGATTCCCATGTCTGTTGCGGGCTCAAGAAGCTCAAGGGATCATCATCTGGGGCCACCAAACCAAACCAAAGCAAAGAGTCTCCTGAACATTTCTCCAGGGGGCTCAAGGGCTCAGAGCAGGTAGTTCTGGACAGACTGGGATATTCTGGCCATTTCCTTCTCACTGATGAGGTCTGAAAGAAGCAGGTACTCACATATGTTTGAAAAGTCCCAGCATCCCAACAGTTTCTTTCTCTCTCTCACCTACACCCCTACCCTGGGTCTGGCAGGCAGCAGGAAAAAAAGCAGACCCTATGGTTTATGGTGCCTTTGAGGATACCTTGTCCATTTCACCTCCTGATGCCAGAACTGGCACAGAATGACCATTTAGCCTCTATTTGAGTACCTCCAAGGATGGGGGACTCACTTCCAGGTTGGGTATGTGAATTCCTAGGAGGATAGATGAAGGCAAATAAACATTTTCTTTGGATCTAGATATCTTTATATCTATATAGGATAGAACCTGAAAGAGATACCGTGAGTGAAGTACAGACGAAAGATGGGAGATGTGGCCAGATACCACCATAGCTGCCCCCTCTCATTTCTTTTGCCAACTTCAGCCCAGCAAGCTAGGTCATTTTTATTAGGCAGGGTGGCTAAAGGCTTTAACCAGTCTCCCCACCCCAAACCACAGTGGCTTAACGAAATAGTATAGTAGTATTTCCCACTCGAGTTCAACGAGAGTATTTAGTGGTCTTTCTTCTCAGGGACTCAGGCTCCTTCCTCCTGGTGGCACTGCTGGAAGTAAGATGAAGGAATGGGAGAGGAGGGAAGAAAGAGCATGGGATATTGAATAGGAAGGGTTTATGAGCCAGACCTGACATTAATGCATACTCCTTTCATTCATTGTCCACTGGCCTGAACTCAGTCATTGACAACATCTAACCCAAGGGAGGCTGGGAAATGTAGTCTAGCTGCACATCCAAGAGGAATGGAAACATGTTTGTGAAAACAAAGCAATCTTTTAACTCCCCGAGTGTCCTTACCCCATGCCCTGTGGAAAGAAAAGTGTCCTGTCAGCTCAGCCCTGTGTTGGCAGGGTCACTGTGCTGGCATCTTCCCTGGCTATGTGAGTTCCTAGGAGGACAGAGAGAGCAGTTAAAAAAAAAATCATCTACCATCTGACTGGACCTAGCACAAAGGCACCACCCCATGTCTCTGCTCTGAGCGGGAGGGTCTGACCTCTGACACTGTGTTTCTCTCCCACAGTATGTGGCCCTGGCCTCCCTCTTCTTCATCCTGGTCTCCATCACCACCTTCTGCCTGGAGACCCACGAGCGCTTCAACCCCATCGTGAACAAGACGGAGATCGAGAACGTGCGGAATGGCACGCAGGTGCGCTACTACCGGGAGGCCGAGACAGAGGCCTTCCTCACCTACATCGAGGGCGTCTGCGTGGTCTGGTTCACCTTCGAGTTCCTCATGCGTGTCGTCTTCTGCCCCAACAAGGTCGAGTTCATCAAGAACTCGCTCAACATCATTGACTTTGTGGCCATCCTCCCCTTCTACCTGGAGGTGGGCCTCAGCGGCCTGTCCTCCAAGGCCGCCAAGGACGTCCTGGGCTTCCTGCGCGTCGTCCGCTTCGTGCGGATCCTGCGCATCTTCAAGCTGACCCGGCACTTTGTGGGCCTGCGGGTCCTGGGCCACACGCTCCGCGCCAGCACCAACGAGTTCCTGCTGCTCATCATCTTCCTGGCCCTGGGCGTCCTCATCTTCGCCACCATGATCTACTACGCCGAGAGGATAGGGGCCCAGCCCAATGACCCCAGCGCCAGCGAGCACACCCACTTTAAGAACATCCCCATTGGCTTCTGGTGGGCCGTGGTCACCATGACAACGCTGGGCTACGGAGACATGTACCCGCAGACATGGTCCGGGATGTTGGTGGGAGCCCTGTGCGCCCTGGCGGGCGTGCTGACCATCGCCATGCCTGTGCCAGTCATCGTGAACAATTTCGGGATGTACTACTCCTTAGCCATGGCTAAGCAGAAACTACCAAAGAAAAAAAAGAAGCATATTCCACGGCCGCCGCAGCTGGGATCTCCCAATTATTGTAAATCTGTCGTAAACTCTCCACACCACAGTACTCAGAGTGACACATGCCCGCTGGCCCAGGAAGAAATTTTAGAAATTAACAGAGCAGGTAGGAAACCTCTTAGAGGCATGTCGATCTGACCTTTCACCTGTGCCCCCTGTAGCGATGATTCCAGATTCAGCCAGACTGCTTCCTTAGTTCCACGGGCAACCCCGGACCCCCACACTCAGTCTTGAGGTGTGTGTGGAGCTTGGGGGCCCAGGGAGATGCTGGGCAGCCACGTTCACGAGGCGAGAGCCAGCTAGAGGAACCTCACTGGCGGCCCTTGGGTAAGGAGGTTGACGTGCTGGTCTCATGAGGTTCTGAAGAGACGACATGGTCCTCGAGGTTGCTGAGGACTCTCCTAGCAGGAGCCCGGGAGCTGCTGCTCGGTGGGCAGGAGTCCGGCGTGAGTCTCTGACTCGGGCCACTGACCTGGCGTCCGGGCAGGGTGGGGGTGGGCGAGATTTGGAAATGGCAGACAGCTTTCTGATTGGGTCTTTACACGGTTCCCTTCAGGCTGTGTGGACAGCACAAGTGGTGCATGGGATCTGGCAGGAGGGTCCCTGCAAAGGCAGTAGCAAGGATTCTCACCCCCCAGCAGAGCCTGTCTCCATAGCCGAGTAGAATTCGTGCTCTGATTCTGGCTGCCTAGCTCCAGGTGTGTCCTAGGAGACGCCTCCAGCCCTCCGTAACGAGCTTACTTCCCCATAGCATGCCGATCCAACTCATCTTCTACCATCACTCTAGAGTTTAGCATTTATCTTTAGAAACTGTTGGAGTGACCCTAGCTTTCACATTGTCTGTTTGGGTTGATGGTTGAGTGGTCTTCTGATGGAAGTGGTTGGTGAGCAAAGGATTAGAGGGGCCACCACCCCGGGCAGCTTAGGCGAAAGCGCTACAGACCAGCAACCACCTCCCACCGATGGTTCTCCCCACTTCCGGCGGTAGGGACTGCAGCAGCAATACATGACACCCCAACCAGTGTAACAACCACTTTCCCATTAATTCGGTGGGGGTCGGGGAGGGGGGGGTTGGGGAGGGGGGCATGACACAATACTAGTCACCGTGGGATATATTCTAATATTCCATGGCTAGTGGTTCGTTATGGGACTATCTCAGTTTTATGAGAACCTGCACATAGCACATAAAGTTGATCACGGGGCTCTGGTCCGAAGATATAAAGCCCATAGTCTACCTCTACCCATGGAATACCATCAACTTATTCTGTGGACACAGGGATTTCAAGGGAATAGATGACCCAGAGAAGAATGCAGCGCGGAGTGAAGCACCGTGGGGGGGAGGGGGCTGGATGAGTGATAGGTAGCATTTAGTTTATGAAGGACATCCTGGGTCCAAAGTCTGGCAGGGGGCTGCAGGCTAGCTCAGCCCTAGATGAGCAAGTTTTCCCTAGATTAGGTGGTCTCCCCCAGTGTATGATTGATTCTTTCTCCCTGCTGATGCTCTCTCTGCCCACCCACCCCATCTCGCTCACCATTTGGCTTCATTCCACAGCTGTGCTGCCCAGAGCGGTACCCCCAAGGCTCACATCTCCGCTCAGCCCTTCTTCTGTCCGCACACCTTTCCCCTTCCTGGCATTCCCATAGGCACCTGAAAGGAACTTGGTTAGTGTCCGAGGCTGGGCCAGAGGATGGCAGGGGTCTCAAGAGCTGGAATAGGGAGCCAGAGGGGAGCCGGGCTTCCCTGCCAAGGCATGGTCCTGCCCCATCTCCCTGCTCTGCGTTAACTAGCTGTTTGACCTCAGGACCCACCACCATGGCAAGGAAAGCTCCTGAGGCTCTAGGAGAAGGTCTAGGTTGGCCAGGCCCCCAGCTCTCCTCCAGGCCCCTCAGAAGAGCTGAGCCTGAGTGGCATCACCATGGTGCTACTTGGCCCTTCTGTCAGTCGTCCCCCACACTGGATCTTTCCAGATCAGTGCCCCAAGCATGGGTGCCCAGGTCACCCTATCAAGAATCCTCAGTTCACTCCCATCAGGCATCAATTGCCCACATTCCTGACAATGCCAGTATTCTTCATGTGCTAAGCTCACGTGTGCACACAAACACACACACACATGCATGCACGCACACACACATGCATGCACACACACATATGCATGAACACACAGGTAGAGCAGACTGTGTGCTCTGACATGTACACCAGCCAGACAAGGGACCCAAGCCCTCTTTCCATGCTGCATCAGACCTGGGAAATCCATGCACCCCTATTGGATCCCCCAGACCCACAGCCATGGCAGTCTTGTTCCTGCAGCCTCCGGCCCTGGCCCCGGGCCTCAAGAACCCAGAGCTCTGGCAAGAGTAGTCTCTGTAGCTGAGAAGGCATTCTGGGCCCTCCCAAGCCTGTCCTCTGGAGCCCCGCTGCCAGAATCCTCCTCTTGCCTCTCCCCAGCCCCACCACCACCACCCTATGCCCCATCCCCACTTTGGATCTCCTCTCCCTTCCCAAGTACTCCCTTCCCCTGCTGGTGCTGTTTTAATGTCCAGACCCATCCGCCCTGATTCTGAGACCCCCTCTGAGCCAGAACACCCCTTCCTCCAAAAGCTGGTACGTGAGACCCAGATTAACTGTCACTGAGAGAGTTGTGGTCCTTAGGTGTGTCCCCCCATCTCTGCCTCCCTGAGTCCCTTCCCATTCACCTCCTTTTCTGCTTTCAGCTATGCACCTGGATGAGCAAGGGGCTGGGGTGCATTCATGAGTGATTGGGGGAGGCCAGAGGAAAGGAAGGCAAATGTGGGTGGAGACCGGGCCCTGCAAGGATTGAGGGGTTGAGATGCAGCCTCCAAGGCCTTTCCAGCCTCACTCCACCCCGGAGTGGGGGGCAGTGGAGCGGCCTCAGGGAAACCTAGGGATCTCCAATTCCTCTTTTAGAAGGTGGGTTTGGGCCGCGTTCAGCATGCTGGCCTCTAAGGGCACCTCCCCTATCAGGGCAGGATCCCTGGGACTCCAGCGAGGCCTTCCAGTCCTGCCAGCAGCCCCTTCCCCTCCCCTCCACTCTGCTCTTTCCCAAGCCTCAGGTCCCATGTCTGTGAGGGATGATCTGGTCATTTCCTCTGTTCCATGTCTGGCATGACGTCAGTGTTGGGAGGAATTGTCCTGGGGGGCTGTAGGACCTTATGGGGGACTGCCAGGAGGTCACCCCACATAATCAGAGGCTGCCTGGGGCTCATAGCCCAGGAGAAGGTGCTCCTTTTCCAGAAAGGGGCTTCCCCGCCCCCCTCTGCAGCCAGGAGCCCAGATCACTTGCTCACGTCCATTCACATATGTCTTGTCCACCTCTGCTCCTGTGGGGTGGGCAGTCCTCTAGGATGGGGTGTCCAGACTTCGGGGTCCCACCATAGGTGAACAGGGAGGGCTGGCATGGGGGAGGGGTGGTGGCCAGACCCCTTTCCTACACAAAGGCACACAGAGCTACAGTGAGGCCCCAGCGAAGACCCTGCCCGGGCCGTATGGGAACCCGCTGCAGTCTCTGGGTCATCTGTGGGGTGGCAGCAGGAGGTTGTCCCCTGAGCAGTGAGTCCACAGTAACCCCTCTCCCAGCCCCCCTTTTCCCCTTGGCTGCAGAGAGGGCTGGGAGCGGTGCTAGCCTGGGGCAGGGAGAGTGACCACAGGGGCAGAGGTGACCAGGCAGGGTGGGCAGGGCCCCTCTGCACGAGCTGATCAGGTTTCTGTTTCTGCTCAGACACAGGGCCAGGGTGGGCCGCCGGGATCATCCGTGTGGGGTTCATGCGGCCCCCAAACGGGCTAAGAGGGGAGGTTCAGAAAAATGATGCAACTCTGAGGGCCAGGCCTGGTGTTCTTTTCTGTGTTTTTCATATTCTCTCTTTTTCTCTCTCTCCACTAATCATGTTTCTCTCTTTTTCTCTCCTCGTTTTGTCGCATGACTTGTGCCGGTTCTCGCGACTGTACTCTGTTCCTGTCTCTCAGACTGTCCCCCGATAGCCTGGGACTTTTTCCCTGAGCCCCCTACTGGGCAGAACCCTTGGAGCTAAACCCAAGGAAATGCCCAGCAACCTTCCCCCAACCCTGCCCCAGCCCCGTGTGCGCCCCCCGGCGCCCGCTGCTGGTCTGAACAGTAAGTACATCGGTGGTGCCCAGAGACGGGGCGAAAAGCCAGCCCCACTGGCGCTGGCAGAGGGCCCTGACACCGGGTTCTCCTTGCTCCAAAGTTTAAAAAAAAATGACCCTCTTGCGGATGCTCATCTATCTCAGCCCATTTCAAAGCCTGGAAACCATCTCTGCGAGCCGCTGCCCATGCTGCCATTTCATCATTGCAAGCCGCGGGTCTAGTGGGGCTGAAGGGCCCTGGGCCGGGAGGCAGGTCTTCCCACCTTCTGGGGAGCAGGTGGGAACCGAGGCTCCTGGTGGCCATCTCATGCAAGGAGGGGGATAAGGGCAGCAGGGGGTGGAATCTTGGAAGAGCTGACCCTCTGGCCTTTTTCGTGGGCTCCCCAGGTTGGGAGAGTTGGCCCCTCCTTTGTTTCTCTCTCTTCTAGCCACCCCCCTCTGGAGTGGGGGAGGGAGAATTATCCCAGTTTCTGACAGCACCCCTAACCTGCAGATAAGCCAAGAGCCCCGGGAGGCTGGCTCCTTCACAGAATGAGACCTAAACACTCTCACCCACTTATAGCCCCTCCTCAAAGTCATGGTTGAGAGAAGCAGCAGACCCAGATGTGTCCTGGGGTCCCTCACCCACCTGGGGATCCCCACCAGTTGCCCCTGCTCCCTTCCCTGCAGGGAAAACCAACCCCAACTTTGGACCCTTTAAAGGCTGTGGGAGCTGGATGCTCCAGGGTCAGAGCCATGGGGTGGGGACAGAGCACTCAGAGCCAGAGGAGTCTCGGGCTCCTCCCTCCACCTTTGACTCTCCCCTGGGCAAGAACGGAGGCTGTGGACCCCTCCACTGACAGAGGATGGCCCAGATGATGGAGACACTGCCTGGGAGGACTTGCTGTTTCCCCTTGAGGAAAATTGGTGCAGGGTGCTGAGGGCCCTGACTTTCATCACATCCTCCTCTTCATCCTCCTCCCTTATATTCTCTCTCTCTCCCCCCCCCCCCCCATCCCTCATTCCCCTCCACCCTTCTCCCCCAACCTAGAGACCCTTGGGAGGCAAGCCAGGGGCCAGCCAGAGTGGGAGGTAGGACCGGGCTTGTCTGTACGCACAGGTGTGTGTCCGCAGACACGCCCCAAGTGCTAGGCAGCCCCCCAACCCCGGAGAGGCCCAGCCCCAGTCACATGGTGTCAGAGTTACCTTGGTAACTGGCCCTTCTGGCGCAGCGGAAAGCGGGAAGCGAAGCCCCTGGGATCTGTGGAGAAACGCACTGTACGTGAACTGCTTTCCATCTTGTATGCAGACTTTTTTAAGTTCCAAAAATCATGATGGGATTTTTTTTTCCTCTTGGATTTGCTTTACGAATAAACCTGATTGGTCCATTTCACCTTTGACTGACTGCCTCTTTGTAGTGACATGATGTGCACACGGCCGTGACCCTGCCCGCAGGCCTACTGAGCGTGTGCCGCAGGAGAGGATCACCTCTGCGTGTAGTAACAGATGTGATGTGAACAGGGTCAAATCCGGAAGTGACTGTCTCCAGCTTTCCCCCCTTTAATCTTTCCAAGAGCCTCCCCTCCTGTGGTCCACTCACGGTGGGGTCTGTCTTCCCTGGAGGCTCTCGCCCTAGAGGAAATCTCTGAGAAAGCCAGGGTCCCACCCTGGCCAGGAAGATTCTGCTTTGAGAGCAGAGAGTGTGGGGCAGGCTCAGTCCCCAGAGGCCAGGCAGCGCTACCTCTGCCAGCTCCAGAGGTGTCCATGGTGATGCTCCTGGACTTGGGTGAGCTCCCTACTCTGGCCACACTGTGCCCTACCCCCTTCCCCAAGAGTGCCCCCCAGACTTCCTCCCAGGTTCCTTCTCAGGCTACCGCAGAGGCTAAGACTTGTCTTCCCACCTGAGTCCATCAGCTGCCGTTGTCTTTATACATCCCATTTGCTCTGCTTTTCGGGGGATCTGCTGAGAGGAGACAGAGGAATGGGAGCCCCTCCCGATTCATGGCCGCTGTCACTGCCTCATGCAAACATCCCTGTCGTGCCTGTGCGAGCTGGCCGGGCCTGCTTGCGGTGTGGAGCGCGGTGGACGCCACTGGCTTTGTCTGTGTGGGCCTCAGAGCGGACTGAGTGACCAGCCTAAGTCTTTGTGGAGGGTGGAGCGGATTGACTGGTCTGACTGGGACTAAGGAGGCTGTATGGCCATGCCTAGTCTGCATGGGGCAGGGCATACAGAGTGATCAGGTTAGAGTCATACGGGGGGCGGGAAGGGGGGGCGGGCAGGGTATGTGATCAGATAGGATGTGTGTGGTGGGCAGCGTGAAGTGAGTGAGCAGATGGGATCTAAGTGGAGACCGAGGTAGAGGTGATGGATGGGGACTGAGGTAGAGGTGATGGATGGGGATTGAGGTAGAGGTGATGGATGGGGTCTGAATGGGGCTAGGGGAGCTTGAGGTGGATAAGGATGGGAGGCTGCTAAGCTCTGGTCAGCAGCAGAGGGGTCAGAAAAGGCTGCCTCTCCGGACTGCAGTGTTTCAGCATGTCTGTCTGTCTTCTCCCCGAGCTCTGTGTCTGGCCCTCTCTCCATGTCCGCATCCACACCATCTGTCTCATTGGCCCAGCCTCGGGCCCTCGGCCCAGCCCCCAGCACCACGCTTGCTGGGCCTGCCAACTCATCTTTTTGCAAACTTTGAGCAAACCCAGGAGCCCCTCCTTCGCAGCACCGTGGGCAGTCGGCAGGCTGCCTGAACAAGCCGGAATCCCAGCCTCCCGCCTCCCTCCACGGCCCCTCACTTTTTGGTTTCTCAGGGATGGGCTGCCCTTTGCCAATGCCCCACCTCCGGCCTGTCCCCCCCGACTAAACAGTTTTCAGTGTCTCAATAGCTTCTGCTTATATGTTTGAAGATTCCAAACTGAATGGGGAGGTGGCGAAGGCCGCGCTGGCGAACGAAGACTGCCCCCACATAGACCAGGCCCTCACTCCCGATGAGGGCCTGCCCTTTACGCGCTCGGGCACCCGCGAGAGATACGGACCCTGCTTCCTCTTATCAACTGGGGAGTACACGTGCCCGCCCGGTGGAGGAGTGAGAAAGGGTATGTAGAGGAGGCTGGGGCACTGCATCCACCGGGCCGCCTCACCTCCCGCTCCTGCCAATGGGGGAGGTGGGGGGGTGGGCGAGGGGCGCTGAGGGGCAGGCAGGCACACTGATGGGTCAGCCCCTTGGGATCTGACGTCCTCTCTCCTAAGGGGGATGGAGTCTGGCAGCAAGAACGTGAGGTCCAGGCAACTGTGGTTTGGTATTAAAGATCAGTACGTAAGGGATTGGAAGGAAGGGCTCAGAGACAGGCTGGCCATTTACGGGCCATGACCCTAAAAACACAGGGTTATCCAGGGGTGCTGAGAGGAGCCTCGACCGCTCCAGGCTGCTCTGGCAGGCAGGACAGACCCAAAAGGCAGAGTGATCTTCCCACCTAGTGTTGAGGAGGGCAATGGGATGGGCCCGGCCTGGCCAGGACTCTGGAAGAGGCATCCATTAAAGAGAATCCACAGACTGTTGGGAGGGAAACCATGAAGAAAAAGGTGGCTTCAGGCCTTGGGGTTCCTTCTCAGGCTTGGGGTTGAAGCTAAGTGTCCTTTCAGTCAGAACACTGCTAGTGACAGAGAATTTGCCAAGAGAAGGTTGTTAACATGGGACTGTGCAGCCCCTTCCATCCCCATCCCTATTAGCCATGCCCTGGGTGGGGCCAGCGCCCCCTTGTGGTTGGCGAAGGCTGAGCTCCGCGGAGGCCTCTGCTCAAAGACTCCTTCTACCTGACCTTACCTTAGGCAGACACCTGGGAAAGAGCTTGATTAAGCAGGGGCTGGAGGGATTGGGACGGGAGCCCAGAGCACCCTAGCTCCAGGCTCCAGGCAGCAGCCCAGGGCCCAGAAGGCAGAAAAAGCCACCCTCAGCACAGCGGACTGGCGGGCAGCTCGTGCCTGTGTGGGAGCATCTCACGCCCACTCATGTGGGATGCATGCTGACCAGGGTGAGAAGGCTGGACCGCAGCAAACAGTTGGCTTTTTAGAGCCACAGTTGCTGTAGCCTGTGGCCATTCGCAAGTGCTCCAGCATTCAAAGTGGTTCCATAGCACACAGGGAGAAAAGGCAGACATCGAAATAAAGGGCAACCCCAGACAAGGGGAGGCAGCTCATGTGGAGATGGGAAGTCTCTTGGTCACTGGTGCTTAGTGTGCCCACCTGGTCCAGGCTGGCCCCTGCTTCCTTGCCCTGCCTGGAGGTCCCCTGGACCCCAGCGCGGCACAGTGCTCCCCGCATGGTGCTGCATGGCGGAGGGCTGCCAGCTAGGAGCGGGGAAGGCCCATCCTTGGCATCTTCCATGGATAGGCCCAATGCACCTGGCTTTTCCCCCCTGGGGAGGCTCTAGAATGCAGGAGCAGGGGCAGGCTGGGGAGTGAGGGGGAAGCAGGTACAGTCCCAGGGGCTGTGCTCTGTCTGGTAAGGTCTCATGGGCTGCCTGCCTCCTCCACCCTGAGTGCTGGACCCATCTGTGTGGCCTAGGAGAGCAGAAAGGAGAGTCCCTTTGCCGTGCTTCAGCAGCCCGGGGAGCGTGGGGCAGAGGGAGCCCTCTCTCCCTGTACCCACCCCAATCCCACAGAGGCCTGGGTGCCAGAGTCTTTGGGAGGCGCCAAGGGTGGAGTGCCCCCACCCACACCCACCCAGCCCTGCTCTGGTGGAGTCAGGACAGCGGCCAAGGACTTGATTTCTCAGGATGGTTCCAGGCCATGAGCCATGTGCAGAATAAGAGAGGAGTTAGGGACTCTCCCCGGTCCCCAGGAGGGAGAGGAAGAGGTGTGCGGGGCTGGCTCACTGCATGGGAAAACCAAGCCAGCTGGAGAAGAACCTGCCTGCCTCTGCATGCGGCTGTTCTGTCTTTCCTCCTCCTCCTTAAGAACTAAGTACCAAGCGGGATGGGAGAGCCAAGAAGAGACGCTCAAGTGTTAATTGTATTCTTTACATACAGATCTTTGCAAAGAAAGCCCTGTCATTGCTAAGTATATGCCGACAGAGGCTGTGAGAGTGACTTGACCAGGCGGCTTGGCCCAGGACACTGGTGGCTATTAAGCATCTGGGTGGACCTGCAGCCCCTCCTCGCCCTCGGACAGAGTAAATGCACGCCATGCAGGTTTGCCGGACGAGTCCGAGTGGCCCAGGCCTTGTACTAGGACGGACGTAGCTTTTCCTACGGCCAAATGGTAACTGACCGTAGAGAATTTCCTTTTCCTTCTTTTCTTTCTTTTTTTTCTTAAATTTTATTTTACTGGGGGAGGGGGAGGTGGAGGGGTTCCTTAGCATGACTTGCATGAAGTAAAATAGAAAAACCCAGCAAGCCAAACCCACCCACCCCCTGCAACTGTGTGATGACCCTACACAACAACAACGAAGAGAAGAAAAACACAGAAGTCCTCCTCTATTTTCTTTCAAAGCTCTTTACTTTTACACTCGCTGGAGCCAGACTGTAAGGGCGTTCGGTAGAAACCTGTACATTTCTGGGGAGGGGGGGCGGGGAGGACGGGAGCACACTGCTCCCCTATTTTTGTACACGAGATCGAGAGAAAGGGTTCCCGGAAGGGCAGTCGGTCGGTCATCCATCGGTCATATTGACCTCACCTTCATAATCATCTCTCACGTGGAAACCGAGAACTCTGCTCCAAATACAAGTGTGGAAACGCGCACTGCTGCCTTCTTCCCTGTCCGGCATGCCTGTGACCCCTCGGACGTCGCCCGAGACCCCTGGCAGCGGCTAGTTTAGGTCGATTCTATCATCTTTTCCGGTGTGTAGATCCAGCGTAACCAACGTTCATGACAAACCACTCATAGTAAATAACCAACGTCGTACGGATTTCCCACATGTTTCTTTAGAGCACCGGAAGGTCAGGACCGTGGGAGGGGCGGCCCTCCTCCGTTACTAAGGCACAACCTGGCATTGTATGCACTTTAGTACTTCGGAGTAAAAACTGCATGCCCAATGTTATGCAAAGCGATTCTAGCATGAAATAAATTTTGTATCCTGGTTTCTGTATAGTCTAAAGCAGATTTGTTTTCCTGAAGCAAGGGGAGGTTTGCAGAGACACACGTCTGCATCTTGAATAAATGTAGTATTTTCCCAAAAGACGCAGAGGACAGTAACTTGGCTTTGGTCTGATTCTAAAATTAGTGGCGGGGGTGGGGGGTGGAGGTGGGGAAGAATGATATTTTTGAAAAACACATGCTTGAGTTGAAAAAAAAAAAAAATGCAACGTCTCCAGCTCTGGCTGCAGCTCGCAACATTTCCTGGAAAGAGAGCAATGCTGCTTTAGCTCAACACCCTCCCTCCCCGGGCCCTGGCCCTCCACAATAAAACGCTGACTTTCGAGATGAAGCACGGATCTGGGTTTTTATTGCCTCAGTCTGGGTGCCTTACCTTGCTGGCCCAGTCTGGGGGAGCATCCTAAGTATACCCCTCCCTCAGCCTGGAGGTGTCTTGGAAGAGAGCGGAGCCCTCTCTTACGGATCTTGATTTGCTTGGATTGTTCACTTGGTTTTGGTTGAGGATAGAGTGGGGGGGTGGGGTTTCCATTCTTTTCCCAGCAATTAGGGAATTCAGGGACGCTCAGGTGGAAAAGTTCCTAGCGGTCATGGTAGTGAACCTCTGAGTGGAGGCCCATAAGTGGGGAGTGATCTGCCCAGGGCCACAAACAAGTAGTGTCAGTCTCCCTTTCATTTCAGTTCCCTTGACGTCTCCCAGCCTGAACCTGAGCCAATAATCACATGAGGTGGGTGGAAGGGAAGATGGGGGGCTTAAGGTGGGGCCCAGTTTTTATCTAAGTTTCTTGTCCTCTCTAAGCATTTGCTTCAACTCCCTGGTGCCCCGTGAGGCCTGGGAACCAAGGGCTGGGGGTCGGTGGGGTGGTGAATACAGTAAGGCCTCTGCCCAGGGCTCCTGCAGCCAGAGGACTGGCAGGTCTACCCTGTGTTTGGAACAGCCATTCATAAGCATCAGCCATTCATAAGCATCAGGCGGAGAAGCCAAGCAGCCTCGGCGGCTGCAGGACAGGTCACATGCCCTCTAGCTGGGCTCCCCCTGGGGGAAGTTCCTCTGGTGGACTCAACACAAAGCCACTTGGAATGTGCGTTTTCAGGGACAAGGTAGCTAATGGGGAAAGGAGATGAACATACACTGAGCATCGGCTATGTGTGGGGCATCTGAGAGGGTTGTCCAATGAGAGCCCACAGTAATTCAACGTGCCCATTGTAGAGGCAAGAGAACAAGGCACAGTGGAACTGGCCCAGAGCCACAGAGCCTATGAATGATGAAGCCATGATCTTACACCCATGTGGTCTGACTCCAGAGCTTGGGAATTGATAGGAACATTAGAATTGCTAGTCCCAAATTCCAGAACCCTCAGGACCTGGCCTGCTGCTCTCCTTCATGAAGTGCCATGGGTGTGACCAAGAGGCCATTTCACATGCTCTGAGCTTTCTACACACATCTGACTCCCTCACTCCCCTGTTAGACATCCTGTTGCCCTAGAATGTAATTGGCTACTTTAAATTGGCTACCAAGACCTCCTCTCCCAGCTCCCACCTGCCTCATGTTCCAGTCACTCAGACACTCTGAAATTGCAGCAGCTACTCATATGCACTGTAGGACCTGGAACCCCCTCCCTCCAGCCCTCACCAACTCTTCCCACTCATGGGCTAACTCCCAACTTCCATTGATCATTAAGTGACCTCACTCAGAAACAGTGGATATGCAGGGGTCTGGGGGGTGGGGCTTTACTCTGAGCTCCAGGCCTGGACTCGCCATTCCCAAGCACAAGCTCAAGCACTTTTGTCCTGATGGCCCACTGGGACCAAAGGTGGTGGGTGTGTCAAGATGGGGTACCTGCCCTCAGGAGAGGGAGTGTGTGTGGCAGGTTAGGAGGTGAACACCCCACTAACCGTCATTCCAAGGCAAGACCCAAGACCTGTGAGCACACAATGGGGTCCTGCCTCTTCATTTTCCTTTCCTCCTCTCACATGGAGGAGTGTGAGGACTAATGTACTCAGTCTATCAGGGAAAAAAAATATAATTTCTAACAATGAATGGGTATTTTCTCACATTGACTCCTGTGGTTCATTAGCTAACCAGGTGGATGATATTGGCATTGCCTGTGAAATGGTTATGTCATCAAACATTTGTAAGAAATAGGAACAGAAGATGGGTGGGGATGAGGGGGGTCAAGGCTTCCACTATCTTAGCCTGCCCACTCCATGGTGACCCTAAAGGCATAGGGACAAGTTCATCACTGATGTTTGATGGGCACTTCCTCTGTAGCAGGACCCGTCCTCGGAGAAAGGATTCCAGAATCCATCTACACCTGGTCCTGGCCCTTGAAGAGCTTGGGCTCTTAGGAAGGATGGGCTTGAACATCTACAGGTCTGAGAAAGAACAACAGGGATCAGAGGGCTCAGAAAATAATCTGGGAGACACTGTCAACAGCCCCTCACACCCTCCACCCCCAGAGTGCTCAGTCACCTACCAGATCCAGCCCATGAACTACCTTAAAGAAAGCCTGTCTGCTGCCATCAGGAGGGGGGAGATAGGGGAACTGGCGGTGATGGGACAGTCTGAGGTGCCATTCATCCTTCCATGTGGACTCGCTGTGCCCTGCGTGCTTCCAAGAGGGTCTGACTCGGGCTCTGAGCGCGGGGTCGAGGCTCAGGCCGCTGCAGCACCTGACCCTGTTTCAGGCTGGGAAGGTGCCCCGAGACACTTTCTTGTGCCCACAGGCCTCAGAAGAGGCGTTAGGGCTCAGCCTCAGAGGACATGGGACTGGGCTTCTTCCAGCAGGTGCTAAAAGAGGTAGGGGGAACAGGCACTACCACCCTGTGAGAGGGTGTGGCAGTTCCTCACGTGTGGAAACCCTGTCTTGGAGGTATGAGCCTAAGCACCATCCCATGTGGGACGGCCCCCTGGCCGGTGTGTCATATGCAGAACACCCAGCCTGTGGGTGTTGGCCAGTCATGGTGTGCTGGCTCCAGTATGGGCCATCAATCATGTCACCTCTGAGGGCTTGGTCACCTGGAAAAAGCCAGCTCAGAGTGCACAGCGATGTCCTTCCTCCCATTCCAGAAGCACTTGGGGCCCCACTGGCCTCACAAGATGGGGGGCAAGGACTTTGATGGCCCAGGCAGCCATGTTTCCAGGTATGGTGCTGGGAGCAGGGCTCCATGCATCAGTGCTCAAGGCCAGCCAACGGTTTGGGCAGCTTGTAAGTTCAGGCCTGGGAGCCGCAGGATTGTCCTCATCTCCACTCTCTTGAGCTGACCCACTCTTGTCCTAGGGCTACTTCTCTCTGCCTCCCCTTGTCTAGGCCCTGAATAGGTCACCTCCCAATAGGACCCAGGGCCAGGAGTAAGGTCTATGGTCTTGAGATGATAACTTCCCCTTTTTAGGCCTTTATTTTTTCCACATGAACAATGAAAACATTGGATAACATCAGTGGTTTTAAACCTTTCTCAAGGACTTTCTCAAGGACTCCTTGTCAAGTGAAATCTTATATGAAGTCTAATTAATATAATATGTAGATAAAAATAAAGCTGCTGTGCATCAGGTGGAGGGTGGGGACACGGACCCCTGTCCACTTGGCCTTCCTTTAGCAATAGCCCACCAGGTGGCCACAGTTCTCAGGAGGCTCCTAGAGCTCTAAAGAAGCCACGTGAGACCATGAGGCTCCATCATTCAGATCCTCCTGCTTTGATGTCCTGGGATGCTGTAACCTCCTAAAGCCATTGGGGCCTAGCCCTCCCGGGCCCAACCCTCTCCTGAGTCACGAAGGGAAGGCAGTGTGGGATGCGCACAGGCCTGGCTGGCTAGCTGGGGCCGCTGTCACTAAGTCCCCCAGGGAAAGCTGCTTTCTGAAACCCTCTGGCCAAAGGCTGACAGTGATAGCTAAGAGAGAGGAACTCTGTCCCCAGAGTCATAGATGCCACCAGCCAAGCCCATGTCCCAGGTCTGGCCCATCCCCATTTCACTTGAGGGCCTTCTTCCTGCAGAGGTTCAG